CGTGCATTAGCAGACAAATTTAGTGTTAGTAAAACACAAATTGCTGATATTATAGCAAATAAAGACGCTCTTTACAAAACTTGGGCTGAAAATGGAGAAGAGAAACGGAAATGGACAAAGCTACAAAAAACAGAAACCTCTATAATCAACAATGAATATTAAACTGGTTCTCAAAATTACAAGAAAAAAATCTTCCTGTTTCAGGACCGATGCTTCAAGAAAAAAGTAAGCAAATCGCTGAAATGCACGGATTTGATTTTAAAGGCTCTAATGGCTGGCTTGAAAAATTTCGGAAAAGAAATAATATTTCTTTTAAATCAGTTTGTGGTGAAGCAGCAAGTGTTGATGAAGAAGCCATTGATAACTGGAAAGCAAAAGTACCCGAAATTATAGCAAACTACGCAGAATGCGATATTTTTAATGCAGATGAAACGGAATTGTTTTATAGAGTTCTACCTGATAAAACCATGGCGTTTAAAAATGAGATATGTACTGGAGAAAAAATTTCAAAAGAACGTTTAACTGTACTCTTGTGTACTAACATGTTAGGTGAGTTTGAACGGCCACTTTTCATAGGCAAAGCTAAACGTCCACGAGCCTTCAAAAAATTGGATATTAACAACTTTCCCGTCAATTGGTTTTGGAACAAAAAAGCCTGGATGACGATTGAAATAATGACTGAGTGGTTAATGAAATTTGATAACAGAATGGGTCAAAATAAAAGAAAATTTTTACTCTTTTTAGACAACGCGGCTCCTCATCCACATTTAAAAATGAAAAATATTGAAATTGTGTTTTTTCCACCTAACATGACTTCTCATTGCCAACCGCTTGACCAAGGAGTAATTCATCAGTTTAAGAAATTATATCGTACGCAATTGTTACGTAAATTGTTACGATTTTTTTTTATTTTTATTAGTTTTTATTTTTTTAGTTTTCATATTTAATTAATGTAAAAATAAAATAAAAATTTAGGTAACTGGTTTTTTTTCATAAATGTTAGTTTTATCGTGTATTTAATTAATGTAAAAGTAATATAAAATAAAATTAATGAATTTATTTATTTGTTAAAAAAAAAATATTTTCCTTTAAATAGCGGACACCTCTAAATAGCGGACAAAATTTCGGAGACCGAGAGTGTCCGCTATTCAGAGGTTACACTGTATTAATAATTATATATATATATATTTATATTGTTTTAATGGTTCAGGTGTACTCATTAGCAAGGTTAGTATCAAAGATACAATGTATATTGTATCTTTTATCATGATACATTTTATGCAAGTATTATGTATATTTTTTCCCCAAAAGATACAAGATACTAGTATTGTAAAAATTTGTATTGAATAGTACCAAGAAAGGAAAAAATGTTCGTCGTGGATTGTATTTTTACGAAAAATAACTGTGCAGCTGCGACTGAGCTGAAATGAACAACGAAAACATTAACTACACAATGTTATACCTTGTAAGATAATTTAAAAATTACAATCACACAGATAAGCACGAAACTCAAATTTTCGTTCTCATAAAATATGAATCCACTAATTTTTTTTTCTTTTTTTATAGATATGGCTGTAATTGTACGGACCTATTCGCTGTCAGGCTATTCACTGCGAAGAGAACCTCCCTACAAAATATTATTATTACCAATTATGTACTTATCATTAAAGATTAATAAATAACAATACTAAGGTTATAAAATTTTTTCAAACCACACGACTTTTTACGTGCGTTCATCCCTGATTTACACTCTTTGAGTTGTGAAAAATTAATTTTGATATGTTCCTCAATTTAAATCAAGTACATTTTAACACCCTCACAGTCCTACAATAGAATTTGCAGCTTTAATTTCCATTAGTTCATAAGTAGCTATGTGCTTGCGTACTTCTCTGGGGCAGAAGATTTTTTCAAAGCGCATAATATGAACAAAGTCCCGAGAACGGTTTTCGGAAAACCAACATTTTCCGTATGTACGATCTACGTTTACGACTTGATATAATGTGATAAGAATTATAAAATTTCTTAAATGCTTTTCATTTTTATTAAACACGTTATTATGAAATTATTTTTTTAACATAAAAAAAAAATATAAAATTTAAAAAACCTATAATTTTCTAGGTAATAAAAATGGATATCCTTAATGAAATTCTAAATTATCATTGTTAAACCATTGATTATAACATAATTAATTAGGTATTAATTAAATTGATTAATACATAGAAGTAAGACTCCTCGTAACACCAGAATACAACATAGGTTAGCTGGGCGTTTACATTTTAAACCAATATAGGTGTCTACAATAACATTTATGTTTAAATTATTACATTTTTATTACCATTACATATCGTACCATTTGTTGTTTGCGGAATTAGGCTATACCTTTTTATAAATCTGTGCGGTATCGTACTATTTTTGTGTGCGGTATTGGGTCATGTTTGTGCGGTAATGGAAAGCGCCGGGTTAGCTAGGTAAGTAGGAAGTACGTATGGTTTATTTGGTGACGAAGTGACCTATTGACCGTAGTATTATATACATCATTATAAAATACTTATTATATATCATTGTATAATGATTTTTCATTGTTTCAACAATGAAATAAATAAACAACTAAAAACACACAGAAGTTAAAATACTAGTTAATGTCAACTGGCACTATTGTTATTTTTTCGACCAAAATATTATAATGTTTTCGTAGTTAATCTTTCCCACTACTCAATATATTATTATTAACAATACAAACCTTTATGGTAATTATTTTGTATTGTCAATTATATTATGTTACATAATTATTTAGGTTTATTTGGTTAATTACAGTGGTGTATTGGAGGGTATACACCGTATTCCCGAATCCCTATTTTTGGATTTTTTTTTAGTATCGTCAGTATCTAAACTGTGAATACAAAATATAAATATGATCTTTTATACATTATAACACCTTGTTGAACAAAAAAACAATAATAAAATTAAAATCTGTACTTACTTTGAAGGTTAATACCGTTTATAATTTCCATTTTAACTTCTTGAAACTTTTAAATCACTCTTTCTGCATAGAAAGATACAAGTGACTGGATATAAATAATACCTAACAGTTATACACTGTAACTTATGTTAAAATTAATACGCATAATAAAACATTATCCGTAAAAATCATTTATACATATTTTTATAAATGTATAAATAATTATGTACATGGTATATACCAGTGGCGTACGTAGGATTTTTTCAAGGGGGTCATTGTAATATACATGAATTTTTTTTGTTCATCACTGAAAAATCTCTTACTACTATGTTATACAATAACAATGTAATAATATAATCTATAGAAATAAAATAAATATGAAATAAGAGAAATAATTAAGGTATATATATAAATATATATGATCTTAATATAAATATAGTATACATAATTATAAAATAGTCAGTATGACGGTTTTGTTTTGCTAATATTTTAATAATCTTCTCAACTTCAACTTCAATGTCAACTTCACGATGAATTTCTGTACTACAAAGCCATTAAGCCTTAAATGGCCAAAAGAATTTCGAAGATTAGTAATAATTCTTTTTAATGTGGAAGAACTTCTTTCTGGTTCACACGATGTAATATGTAGTGTTGCAAAAGTATGAAGCAATTTGAATAAATTTGGAAAAAAGTTTTTATTGAATTTTTCAAGAACATCTAGATTCTACAAGACCATGTACACTTAATTTTTGAAAATGTATACGCAAAAGCTTTAATTTTACTTCAAAAGCATCTTAATCAACATCATCTGAATAACATTCACTAAATCCTCGATTACTTGGTTATCATAAGTTTCACAAGAAACTAGAAAACAAAAGTCAGATATTGTATTTTTATGGTTCAAAAATCGTTCATTTAACTGTTGAATTAAGTTGTCCACAAAAAGTTTACGCGGGCATGAGGCTATTTTTGGATAGTGGCTATAGTGTATAATAATAATAAATTCTATACTGTTGTTGTTGTATAATGTATGCCTTACGGTGATGAAAAATTAGAAGCTTGCATTTACTCATTATTTACGAATGATTAGTTAGCGTATACCTATAATGAACGAATTTTCTTAAAGGTATACGCATAAATCCAAAAATAGGGATTCGAATATAAGGCGTATACCCTCCAGTACACCTCTGTAATCAACGAATAATCATTCGTCAATAATCTATCACCATAAGACATACATTTTTATCGTATCTTGCCTAACCCTGGTTATTAGTAACAAATGTATTTATAATAAAGAAACATATTAGTTATAATTTATAATAAACAATACATATAGTTATTATAAATTATATAATAAGAAATATTTATACATTTATAACAATAATTTAGATAGAAGCTTAGATTTTTCATCAATTGCATTTATTATAGTATTGTTATCTATTTCCATCAAAATTGTATTCTTAATGGCCATCAGCATAAAAGACTCAAGTCTTCAAGGTTGAAAATGACCTTTCACAACCCACTTGAGTAACGGGGAAAGTTAAAATGTATTGATATGCTATATTTAATGTAGGGTAAGCATTTGCAAATAAATTATATTTTACTAATTCAATATAACAACATATTACACAATTTTTTACAAGACTTATTACAAGGTTACAGCAGAACGAATTTCTTTACTTAAATATGTGCCAACTACATCATGTGACGTTGAACGGTGCTTCAGTTAATATAAAGCCATACTAAGATCCAGTCGTCGATCATTCATTTTCGAAAATTTCAAAAAATATGAGGTCGTAGCATGTAATATACATAGTGAATGTGAATTATAAATTGTATTTCTAAATTATTTCATTTCTCAATTATATTATATTAAGACAAATTGCCTAATCACTGATGTTTTTCAATAAATAAATATTTATTTTGTTACTATATTTTTGTGTTTATCTTATAAAAGTTAAAATGTTAGTTAAATTTTTGCATATTTCGGTAAATAAAATGCATATTTTACAATTTTTTATTGCATACAAATCCTAGCCCTGATCATAACTATATATTCCTTTTATATTATAAATTATGTTAATTTATTAATTTTACTTATTTATGGACATTATTGAATCCTAAACTGTATTGTAATGTGAACTTGATCCAAAATGACTAAGTAATACTTGCTTAATAGTACAGTTAATTAATATACAGTAGTTTTGTCCATGATGTATAATCGTTGAGATATAATAATATGTGTTAAATTTCATTAGAAAAAAAAAAACATTTAGTAGCTATACTACTATAGTTAAAATATAGTATAGTATAAATACCGATCTTACAAACTTGTAAATGTTATAATTACTTTGTGTTATACATTTTAATATATTTATAATATACAAATTTTATAATTTAAATAATATTAAGTATAATTAAATGTAACAAGGTTTACAAAACACATGGTTCAAATATTGCGACAATATTTATTGATTCTTGTTAAAATATTTAGAAAATATTTAAAACAACTTGACACCACAATTTCAAAATATTTTTTAAAAGTTGCTACAATTTTGCGGTAACACCTTTTTAAAATTTTGTAAAAATATAATATAGCTATCTGGGTGTTGTCAAATATTTTTACTCTGAGACCAATTCCTGTTGGAAATTTTTCGCAGAGCGGCAACTAGAGCCGTCAGTTACCGCATTCCCAGGACTAGTAAATTTCCACCACGAGGACACAGTCACCGAAGTCGTATTCCCGGAACTAGGCACCAAGGACACACTATTGGATAAAGCAGTCCTCGCGTCCTTTGTCATTCATTTTTCATTTGTAGCGTCTTTACTTTTCCATATTTACATTCTACTATAACTGGTAAACCTATACTGTTATAAAATTTTAATACGAGTATTATATTGAATTTTACGTGGATTGAAAGAAGATCACGTGCTACAAAGAATCGTTATTTAATTGGAACCAAGTAAACACGATTTGATCGATGCATATGAAGGACTTGCTATAATAGAATCATCGTTGTATAACGATTCACTGACGTAAAAAACTGCTTAGTGATCATGGAAACACCGCAAGATTTAACGTTTTGCCGATAAATCCAACATACATATTATATTAATCCTCTAATTTAATTAACTGTCAAAACTGTCGATGTCGTATTATAATGATAAAAAGTCGAAATAAAAAGGAATTGCAGTCAACAAACGAATAAAGCCATTAACATAATAATAATAAATATAATAATTACACGAATCGCCTTTGCATGTATTAGTTTTCATTTTTTTACGTTACAATGGTAATTAAAAAATTATAATCCGATTCGTATGATTTTATTAGTATTCTTATATGAATGAATGCGTGACTTGAATTTTGGTAACAGTTTTTCTTACTTATATATTTAAGACAGAATTCCTTATCGTTTAATCATAAATTTATACTGTTCGAAAAAGTTTAAAAAAAAAAAAGAAAAGAAATTATTTTTTTTAAATCATTATGAATTTTTTTATAAACTATTATGTTGAATTGTTGAATTAAGTTATGATCAATAAAATATGTTTGTAAAAATGCAATTAATAAAAAGTCTGAATAATTGAAACTATTATGTAACCAAAAAGTAAAACAAAAAATTAATCGATAAAAAAATATATTATACTATTTCACTTTGTTCTCAAACTTTCATTCAATTTTCAATACAAAAAAAAATATTCATCCAAATTAAGTACTTTTGTACTAAACGCATAACGAATATTGTATAATATATAATTTTATATTATTGTATAATATACAATGCTATATTATAATAATGATGCATAACATTTTTATTTTACAAAAGTATACTTTTCCAGTTAAATAAAAAGTTGCTATTTCATTTATTTTAAGGTTCAGTGACTTTGTATTTCTAAATTTAAAAGTAATTCATTTTTTTACATTTAACTTACAATTGTATGTATAATAATGTATAAATTAATTTTTGATTATCTGAGTAGTAGCTTAGTAAAAAATAAACCTTTCACGATATTTTACTTTTAAATGCAAAATAAAAATGTATTTTAATTCATTTTTATTATAATTGTTTTAACACATTATGTATATTAAGATTTCTTGTCACGCTTTACTTAAGTTTTGCTTTTATTTCTTATTATTTTTTATAACCAAACTCTTTTTTAACTTGACCCTTTTTTATCGTTACAGATCTTATCTGTTGTCATAGTTCTTGAAACTAAAATCCATTACTCCATATCTTGAATTTTATTAAATGTATTTGTCTACTTTTTAAATTATAAAATTAAATTAATTATTTTTTTGAGACTAATTACATAATTACAGTGTAAGAAACTTATTACATAAGTAAAATGATAGATTTTTTAATCATAATTTTAATTAATCGAATGATAGTTTTATATAAAACTTATGATTTCTTTTTAATATTATTTTGACAACATATTATACGCTATCCATTTATTATTACTAATGATATTTTACATACAGTATTTTGTTCAGAAATTAAGATTCGAGCAAGTGCATAATTTTATTTTTACTATAACTTTTCTTCGTATATTATCAATTTACTATACATTGGATTTATATAAAAATTTAAACATACCGGGGAGGATATTTATTCTCGTTAAAAAAAAACAATTTAGTAAAAATGCAACGAGAATCAAGAGAATATACAATATGTTCTGTACTAATTTCAAATTATATTAAAATAAGAGAGTAATTGTCCCACGTTTTAACATACTCCGTTTACCATGCAATAGTAAACGTTCACAAAGTATCTAAATTAATTCAACTCCACATGAGTTACTGGTTTCTACGCAAAAACAATAAATTAGCGTACCTAATGTTCGGACGAGACAGTAAAATGATTGCTTAACCCCTGTAGTTGCATATTTTCTATTCACTCGTCGTTGCCATAGTCGGTATGGTGGTTTAGCAATAAAAAGTCTTCGATTTCGCTGATTCCACGGGGCCATGAGTCGATAGTTTTTTTTATACTTTCCGTACACGTACCCGGTGAAAGAACTAAACAAATAGAGGTTCTGTATCGTGTTTACTCGGTTGATGAGGTATGATATTTGTCGCTTGTTATTGCCGGCAAACAGTTTTAACGAATAATCCGTACAGAAACCGTAGGGTCGTTTGTCCATCGGGGGAGATGTTCCCCATATACCTGATGTCCTGTAAATATTAAAACTACTCGAACGGCATGCGATTCGGACGAACCATTCTCCCATAGGTACGGGCGAGCACATGCGGGCGGATACGGGTACAATACCTTTTAATGATAACATTATTTGGAACGTGTCATTTTGCGAGACGGATTCCGCGCGGCCGAGCCGATCGTTGGCCCGCGAAAACGTCTTCCCGGAGCTTCTAATCCTTTTACAATATTTACAAAAGCGTTTAACTCCCAGACGGGAGACGGTGAAACGTGCTCGGCCCGTGGCTGCGGCGGAGATGGCGGTGACCTGCTCAAGACGTACGTGTACGGCGAACGCGCACAGCAATAATAATAATAATAACGTAGAATAATGCTACGGGAGAGGAAGGGGATGGGGAGAGAAAAAAAATAAATGCATTTAACACGTTTTTCTGTTTATTATCGACGACGTCCCTTTTCCACGAATATTTTTCTAATGGTCCGCAGGACGACGGACCCGTTCCCTTTGATAGGCGCGTTCCGGTCCGGATTTAATCGTCGGCGTACGGTGGCGGGCAGGGTGCGGTGGCGGATGGGGGCGGAAAAGGTTCACCACTTGACACGCTTACGCAAACGACACGTCTCGGGCCCGAAAAACAGGTACCCGCCGCGTAAACGTTGTCCACCCGTCCGTCTTTCTCTCAGGTTTTACGTGCGTCTCTCTCGCTCTCCGCGTCCGACGGTCGTCCGTTCGGTCCGTCTACCTGACCTCTAAGTGCCCGTGCCGGCAGTCGAGTTTGATTCCTCGAAAGTGTCACACGCCACTCTCACGTTCCTCCCTGCGTTCTTTGCGGCCGTCGTCGATCGCGCACGCGTTTTATCCGCCACCGCCAGCTTGTTACCGATTCACAAACCTAATCGAACCTTAGTAACCTAAGCGGGAGAATATTAAAAAAAAAAAAAATACAAATATTTGTCCATCTTTACTGGTGCGGGCACGTGTTGTGTGTGTTTCCGTACGCGTCCGAATCGTGCTCACCCGGTCATGAGGTGCACGGTCGCGGCAACGATGCTCATCGCCGTTCTGGCCGTCACCGTACCGCGGGACGGTGCTTGCGCGCCAGACGTCGGCGACACGCTGATGGACATGCTGGACATCCGTACGGCCGAGAACCGCACCGCCGCCGACTACCGGATACCCGGTTACATGTACGCACTGTACCGGGACACGGGCAACCGGCAGCTGCTACAGCGTTACGACTTGATCCGGAGCGTCTCACCGCAGACAGGTAACGTACTCGATATTTTTGCACTCCATTGTTTCACCATAGTTACCCCGGCGCTAGGATTTCCATCGAAGACGTGGTGGTGGGGGGAGAGAAATACTTCCGGAACGATACCGTATTCGCGTATTTTCACACAAGACGTAACCACTCCGCAGTGCGTTCTCTATCCATGTTATTATGTTATATATATGTTATTACATTACGCTTGACGTATTTGCACCACACAAGACATCACGTTTACATCGTCGTTTCCACCGTGTAGCCGTACCGAGAGCTGTACGAAACTTTTATCTTTATCTGCCCAAGTAATTTTGTTTTCTTTTAGCTATCGAAAAAATATGTTAAAAAAAAAAATTATTACATACGAGTAGACGTGAAAACGTTCTAAATAATTCATTCGGAAAAATTAGACCTTTATCGAAAATCATGGGTTCAAGGGTTTCCGAACGGTATCGGGTCTTCGAATCTACCAAAAGAATGATTAACTGTATAGTTAATAAGCTTTGTGACCCGGTGTATGTTGTAAAAATCTTAAAAATATAAGCCAATGGATTAATGGCGTTGCGATGTTCCTGTAATTCACTAAATGGATACCAAATACATATTTGATCTGAAAATAACAAATGAATTCGAAATGTTAACGATTTATTTAAGAAATCACAATACGTATTTAAATGTTTAGCGAGTGGTGGAATTCCATTTGGTAAAAATAATTCTATCGCAATAAAATCCTCCGTCAGTAATGATATCTATTAACGATGGTAAGATTAATATTCATCGAGCTTAATACGATTGAGTTTACTATAGCCGTTCAATCTATTAAAATAGTTTGACGCGTTGTTGTTTAATGGTAAGAATTGAATGCTTCGTTTTAATTTTTAAGAAACATTTAGTTAAAAAATAATTAGTCAAACGTAAAATATTCAATTTTTTTTTTTAACATACCTAAAACTGAAATAATATAGCTACTTTTAGTAATTGTTATTACTCAAAAAAAAAAAGAAAAGTTATTTGTGGTTTCAAGTCTATCGACAAATAAATAATAAATATATTATACTATTGTTTAGTTTTATAAATATTCGTCATGCAGTTAAATTTAAATTAAACACATTTTGGACCATTATACCGAATTAAATAAATAAATTTCTAATGGTTTTACATTTTTCCGTTGCTTTGGTGTATACGCAAAAAAACATTCAATAATAAATCGTAAAATAAACAACCAGATAATATGTAGGTACGTATTTAGTCATTTGATTTGTAGGTATTTTATTATCATCAGTTATAAAATACTGAAAGTGTATAATTTATATTTTTTTAATATATTCATTGATATACTTCTTATCGAGTTACTTAGAAGGTACGTTGAATCCATCAGTATGAATTTCAATAAGAAATAAAAGAAGCAATGTAACATTATGGGTATTTGTTGATATAAAAACTGTAGTATCGATTTTTTTTTACTAAAATTAAAAAGGAAATGTCATAAAAAATGAACAAAGACTTGTAAAAATGTTTGTAGTTAATAAATAAAATAATTTTTAATGTATACTAATTACTAACTATTAGGTCCTGGAATTATATGCACTCAAAATATGTAAAAATATGCGAAAATATGCAAACAAAAATGCATGTTTATTATTTATTAAATGTATTTAATTTTAAAATGTATACAATTCATTTTATAATTAATATTCAACAAAAAATGTACTTTAAAATATATCAATTGTATTTTATATATTTTATTGAACTGTATGGAACTGTATGTTGTATTGAAATTAAATATTATTTTGAACACTCACTCATCTAAACAAAAAATCACAAACAAAAATCAATCAAATCAAACAAATCAAGTGGATTTTTATATTTTTAAAGTTACCTGGAGAATTACTATGGTATTGGTACTATTAGCGAACTTTATTTTATCTTATTATAACACAAAAATCAAATTATATAACTGCACGATTCACGGAATTTACGATGGACATGCGCTAAGCAATAAATAATAATATTAATAACTTCGTAATATTTTTTTCTATATATGCATTATATTTCAGAAAAATGATAAAATATGCATAATAATTTGAAATGTTCCAAATATAGGAAAATATGCCAAATTTAATTTCGCATACCAACACATTAGATTAAGATTCAAATGTCTGTCTTATCTTGCTACTTTTTAGTTTAATATATAAAAATATGCAAATGCATACAATTCCAGGTCCTACTAATTATATTATATCTTAATCAAATAAAACCATCTAAACATTTATATAACAAGTGATAATCAAAAGTTACAGCCAGCCTAAGATTCTTTTCGTAAAGAACAAACTTTAAAAATCGATAAATTGTAGTAAATCATTTATGCTACATGAATTATATGCAAATAAGATAACGAAACTCAAAATTGAGATCTTTTCATTTTGAATAATATATTAGTAGTATATTATACACGTTAAAAACATTTTCGTCGAGAGCTCCAAGAAATAAATATTGTGTTTATTCGAACTGATTATACATTTATATTTATTATTTTACCATTTATATACCTATATTCAGGTCTTCTTGTATAATTAATCCTTTGTTAGCTTGAATTTGATATTAACTATTAATTGCGAATACAGATAATTGCATTACAACTGTTGGGATTATTTTGTTTTGCTTCTAGAAATTATTATTTGGAATAAATACAATCGACGTTAAAACACAGCAATCTAAATGTTATTATTTATAATACAACTAAAGTTATTGATGTAATAACTATAATAACTAACGTTATCGATAGGTTTAATTTTTTACTTAATATGTGCCTGACATTGTTAACAGATTGTCAATTTATATAATATATATACATGCATATACGTATGCTTGTGTAAATCGTAGCACCCAATATTCCCAACGCGCATACCTTTATTGGCGCCAAACGAAAATCTGATGGCGTCAAACCAGGCGACCTAATATATTATGATGGTCTTAGAGTACTCGCACAACAGTATTGTGTTGCGTGTTACTTTACAAAAATAAAATGTTGATAACCTTTTGTTGTTTATTTTTGTCAAATATTTTTTTTCTTTAAACACATTTCATTCCGAACGTTATTTATAATCCAGAATGTATAACACACATCTACTTTACAGAATTTTCACGTCATATGCGTAACGCGATCAGATCATTCGGTAGAACTATATTCGTAGCAAACAATTTACTATCGGGTCCATGGGAGGGCTTGCCCCTTAGTGCAACTAAAAACTACAACTATTGACCTTTGCTCTGTTCTCGACTATACGGCAAACTTTGATTTAGAAATAAATATTAAACGCTAAATTTAATTCAATAGATTAAAAATATCTTATACGTGGTATTTTTGATTTTCTATACTGTACAACTAAAGATTTATTTTGAGTTGAAATTCGGACGCATCGACATTTTAATATTGTGCCCAGTCATAAATTCCATATGATTTGATCGTATCTGAGATTCTAAATTGAAAATCAATACAATACGTCATATCCATTGAATGATTACTTTTTTCTGTTGTTTTATTATTTAAATAAAATTAACGCTAATGAAAGGTTAGGAAATAACTTTTTATATTGTCTGAGTATTCAGACAAATTGTTCGTATTCATAATGTTCCTCATTTCTGTTTTAATATCGAATAGTTTCAACAGAATATTTAAGTATTCGGGATATTTCAAAACTCATTAATTTTCATGAAAGCTTACTTGTGGAGCTCGAGTTTGGTGCCCGTTGACTCTTTTGTTTGATTATTTTCCGAGTTCATCGGATCTAATTGTCCAGTCGACTCGGTATGTGAAAATAAAGTTCATAAGCCTCGGCTGGTCGGTCACAGAAACCCAATTATTGTCTAAAGTTTGGCGTAAAGAGTTGAATCGAATAACAACTGAAAAACTTTTATATCGGATTGATTGTTTTTAGAACTTTTTTTAACTTAATTACAAAGTCTGCACCTGTAGACCACAGTTATATGGTTTTGAAAAGTTATCAAATTCGAATTTATATAGCAACATGAACAATTTTCAAACACAGTGGTCGGTCATCGGCTGAGCTCATTTCGAGTCGAGCTAATTGACTTTTATGACGGTCAAAAAATTACGTTTAATCAAATGAAATTTTTTTAATTAATTAGTAAACTCATTTTTCATCTAACACTTTATATAATATATTACGTAGGACGAATTATTGATTATAAAAAAGGCTGAAATTATAACACTGAATTCCTAGTATCTATGTATGCGCGCGCACGTTTTAATCTTACAATCATAATTATAACTGAACTTCATTGGTATACATTTGAATAAATTGAAGTGTCGCTTTTGAATAAAATATTGGCATGTACGTATCGTGCAAATCGTTTCAGCCGTTGAACACAATTCATTTACTGAGTTCAAGCAGAAGACAATACTGTAGATGTACGTATGAAAACAAAGAAGATATTTATTGTTATTATACTTCATAATGTGACGTGTATGTATCGTACTTTGTAAATGTTTTATGTCTTAACTGCTCAAAACGCGAATCATGCTTTATGGGATTCATCGTGCGATTACGGGGAATAATATTATTGTACTGTTATTTGTTTCACACTGGAAAAAAAATGTCTCACGAAGTACTCGTTTAGTTAGCATCCAGTAATTGTTTCGCTTTTTTTCACAACCGTATTAACAGTGTCTGCCGGTGTGACACCGGCCCACAAGAATGTTGATCACTTCACTTTCTATTTCAATTACTTATTTGTTTATTCGTATTCGAATACTATTTAAATACAAATGTTGGTCGTCAGTATAATGTTACGGTTTAAGAACGGTTTTGTTGAAGCTAAAACCATAAAAAATAAATAAAAAAAATGCGGGCTTCGGATATACTCGTTGCCCAGCAGACACGACAAGACCAATATTGCACTTATAACATCGCGTACAACAATTACCTAATATAATATTTTCGATTTAATTCCAAGCGCCATAATTTTATATAAAATGTTTTGGCGTTTTACATTACACATCCGATGAGAATATCGTACAAAACATTTTATAATCAAAACTTGTTCTAGCTGTATTAAGTTTTTTTTCGTTAACATATATTGTTATCTAATCACTATCGAAAGTAAACTCTGAAGACCATATTTTGGGAAATGTTAAGATTATTATTTCAGATACTATTTGAATGTGACAATATTTATGTCGGCTTTCCATTAGTTTGGAATTTCGGTTATATGTGAACGGGCGTTCAGACTTGATACGAGCAACAGAAAAAGACATAAATTGTGGAATTCGAGATACAAAGCGTTCGAGGAAAAAAGGGTCGTTTTGAGCGCTCCAAATTTGGCGCCTAGCCTACTCTCGACGTCCGTTTAATTTGCGTAGCGACGCCGTCTGGATAACATCAAGAACGTAGTCGTCGTCGTCGTTATGGGAATCAAGTGGGTATCGAAAGAGAAAAAAGAAATCAAAAAAAAAAATTTATAAATAAATAGGAATAATAACGTTATTATTGTGCGTTGTCGGCAATAAAATAAAACTCGAAACGAGAATGAAAAGACACGCATTGTCTGCGTGTCCGTCCGTTAGGTCGGAAGCATCGCGACACCTAGCCGGCACTAGCTCGGCCGTGACTACCGGTAGCGTTGGAATTATCAACACGGGAACGAAAAAATCGTGTCCGGGGGAAGGTATTGTATCGAGAAAGAAATCGATTTAAACGTGGCCCGTTCGGATCTCGTACCGAGGCAACAACAGAGACTGACGTTTCTAGTTTTCGTGTTCGCGCGGGGACGAACGGTGCTCCCCCGGGTAAACGCCGGGTGAAAAAAAGATAAATCCACGCGCTCGCGGAACGTTGTCGATCGACATTTTCGCGGGATCAACGATCACGGGGCTGTCGCGAGACACGTCCAGCGTTCGTCGATGTTCGCGGCCATTCGAAGACATTGTTTTCGTTCGTGTATACCTACAGCAACGCGGTCGTTCATTGTGCGCAGGTGGTGGCGCGCGAGACGATGAACAGCGGGTAGAGCGCGTGTACATAAAATGTAATAAAAAAAAAAAAAAAAAAAGAAAAAGAGAAAAAAAATTCCCGTCCGCAGTGCATGAAAGATGGAGACAAAATAGTACCCCAGCGGTGGGCCGTAGGAATGGTCGTGGCGCCAGGGACAAAAGACTTTTGTCCGATCGAAAACACACTCGCCACATAAATGCAGGTGCTCGTCGTCGTCGTCGTCTCTCGGTCCTTGTAGGGTCAGTGCGACCATCTAATCTAATGGATTGTCAATTGGTTCGTCGCCGCCACTGCCGCCGTCGCGACCGTACTTAATAGACGTGTCACTCTCTCTCTCTCTCTTTACTGGGCGACGCATGATTTTAATCCTTTGTGCCCCGTCCCCGTCCCCTCATTGGACGTGTAGGTAGGTGCGTGCACGAGGAATTCAGGATTACATTGTGTCTGCGCGTTTATATGTGTATATTAACTCTAGGTTTTTGGGATATTTTTGGTTTTCTTTTTCGCCCCCCGAACGGATTCGGCCGATATTTTGCCTCGTCAGTGGATACAGTCGCGACGAATAATCAGATAACAAGGGTCGGTCGTCTCTGACTTTCGATGTCTCACGGCGGGAATAAAAAGATTTCATCTTAGGCGCGGATTATCGACGCGCGCACAGATTCATAGCGCTGCACCTCGAGTACTCGGACTCGTATACTTTGGGCTTGGTATAATTTTTCCCCGAAGGTCCGCACGCCAACGGTCGTCGACGGCGACGAGGATCCGATGGAATCGCGTTTGTAAGGACTATGGTTTACTGCGGTTTCATGAACTTGACGATCCTGTGGGAAGAATACGAATTCTTCGAGGAGTAGAGATTTCGTTAAAAAGAAACGAATACAACTGCGGTAATAATAATCTGAAATAATGATGTACACGATAAAAACAATAATGTGTTGTACCGTAATAGATAATAAACGATACACTACAAACAATACGTGTTGGTGTAGGCGCATTACTGTCCGTAACTCGTTAATTTTTTTGTTTTATCCAAGATTATTACGAGCGTGCGGAACAATAACAAACGAATTAATTCGTTGTATAAAAACGTTTTTTTTTTCAACAGAAATACCGTGTGATATCGTAAAGAATTCTGTTACGATATTCGTTAAGTACAGAAGTTTGACCGTAATATTGTACGACAATAAACACCGCTTGAACTGTATGACGTGTAAGACCGCACTAGTTTTATTGATAGTATAACCGCTGCCAGTCGTATCGTTCGATCAAAATAAAATCACTTGTTGTATAACGTGTACACGTGACGATGATACTCGAATAAAATTGAACGTAATAAAATAATCGTATAAACGAAGTCTGTTAAATTATTTTTTATAGGTTTCGTGTGTTCTTCATATTCCGTTGTCTTTGTCGTCGTATCTATTCGTCGGGATATATTTTGCGGGAAAACCATTTGTTTCATGTTTTAAATCCAACACTTCACATTATAAACCATCGTTATTATTATATTTTACTATTATTAATTATTTACGGATATAGTTTTGAAGTGAATTTTTTTTATTTCGCGGAAAACTCCGCATGGTGTTATGATACCATAAAATAATAAAATAACATAAAATAACCATAAAATAACAGACGGTAACATGTCCGATTAAAAAAAAGAAAAGATGACGAACTTCGTGAAACTATTATCAGTGCAATTGTACATAACCACTAACTGCAAGCCAACAGAAGTTATTTTACTCGTTTCGTACCTATTTGAGATATTTCACGGAACAACGAATCCGTGCGGATTTCCGTATTTTGTGTTATTCGTGTTTCGGAATGTCGTCCTACTACTATCCTATTGTGTTCCAATAATATAATATGCACTTAATCGTGTGTACAATAATAACACGTTGACACATCGGTGTAGTAGAACTGTTTCAAGTCAGATTAAACGACCGCTAGTACGAGGGGTTAGAGCAGTTGTATTGTGTGCACATTATCTTCAAACGACATGTACACGAATACGTAAAAATAATAAAACATATTATTCGTAAAACGTATAAACGCAGGTACAAATAATTGACAAATGATGGCGGTGACATTCTATTGATATGCATTGTTGGAAAAATCGATTCACTTGTCGTTCAGCAGATATTGAATATTATGATAACATGCGTTTGTGTACGTTATCCGTAGTTTTAACAAAAATTATACTGAAAACGATTAATCACTCGGTTTTGAAAACTAAGAGTAAATTTGTTTATTTAAAAAAATCGGAAACGAGTACACAGATCTGCGATAATATCACTAGTAATCTTTGGTATCTTATTTCACAAGGTGCTTTATCCGACTCTGGTTGAATTAACACATCGCACCACGTATGTGTACAATAACAAGTATACGTACTATACTTCTGTTTAATGTTTGCTAAACAACGTTGTGTTGTTCAAGTAGATTTATTTTGCCTTGCGTAAATTAAGTTTACTGTGGTGTACGTACAAGACTTAGAACAATAGTACGTTTAAAAAGCTGTTGAATAAAAATGTAGGTAATAAAATATTATTTTATTTTTTCCCTTAAAACATAAAATTTAAAATTATGTATACATTTTCCACGCACACCATTTTCAATGGTGTTAAATGAAACTAGAAATGTGACCGACCTGATCTGTTCACTCGTATTTTTGGACACAGACATAAATATACACATTAATAGTATTAAAAAGTGAAATGTCTGTAAAAGTGTTAATTACAACCGACAATAATTTTAATATAATTTTACTGACCGGCCTTGGGCGTATTAAAAATGAAATTATATAGACTGCATCTGATTTACACTGGATACCGAAATATCGAATTTGGCTGTTAAAAACGTCTGAAACTCTTTAGAAATGTCCACGGTTTCAGTGAATAGAGTTAATAGGTATCAAACCTATTATCAAAATATGTGATATTCGATATTTCAGGTGTGCGTTTAATGAATTTGATAAACTGAACAGCAACGTGAAATCGATATCATATTAGTATATGTTACTATTTATACTAAGGTCAGTGAACATAACATTAATGAAAGCACTACGATGTTATTTAAAAAAAATACGATATATATTATAATAAAATCAGAATTGGTATACAAATAATAGGTCAAGTACAGATAATAATATCAATAGCATTTTAAACTAAAACAAATGTTTTAGAAATAGTATAAAAAATACAATAACAATGTTATGTAAATTTTCTTTTTAATTCCTGGTCTTTTTTTGTATATGATCGCATTTTATATACTGAAACGATGAACGAGAGTAATACTCATTAGTGTGTACAATCGACAAGTTTCAAATTCTAGTAATTTATTATCTATACCGTAGAATGATGTGTAGATCTTTAATCCTTGAAATTATAATTTCACTATTATAAAACACCTGAAAATTCAATAAAATTGATCTAAAAATGTGTTGAGTGCAAATTTGTTGATTTTTAAAAACGTATACAATAAAGTTAAAACGAATACATTTTTGATAAACACTTTTCGAAGTTTCATGAACAAATTAAAAAAAATATTAATCATTTATTTTAAGTTTTTTATCAGGAACAAATATTTTTACACTCAACGGCTTTTGTAAAGTTAAAATGTAATAATTCTTTCAAAAGACTTTTACGAAAAAAATAGAATAAATGTGTTCATGATAATGGGTAAAAATAAAGTGTTTTTTATTCTTTATTTTCGTTGAAATAATGTGTACGTTTTTTTTTAATTTTCAGAACCGCTGGGCACACATACGCTGTACGTCTATGACCTGAGCGCGTTAAAACCCACCGAGATAATAGAAAAAGCAGTCCTTCGACTGGATTCCGGTACGAACCGCCAGTCGAACAAGACCGTCAACGTGTCGTTATTCTCCCAGAACAAACACGCGGTCTCCAACTCGTACCTGGGCTCGGCCAATATCACCGACACCGTTCTGGACTTGGCCCGCAGCTTGGGCCCGCGGTCGGCAAATGGTCTAAAACGGCTGATCGTGCGAGTGGAAGGTTCGGCGAGACCGTCTATTGGGCTCGTGTTGTACTCGATGAACACCGCGAACGCGCCCGTGAAGGGCCACGAGATGGCCAAGTTGCTGTTCGAAGCCAACAACAAAAGACGTAGACGGTCCGTGGTTGACAACGAGGTAGACGTCAAGAAAAACTCGTTCACGGATGAAACGAAACGGAAGAGGAAAAAGAAAAAAGGATCGAGAGCCAGCAAGCTACAGGTAATTTACGGTGTTTGAGATGTTCGAACGGCCATGCGAATATCTTTTATGTGCTTATCTGTTACGTGCAACTGAAACTTTTGTTCTTGGTAGATATGCTGAGAGTGGGAGAGAGATTGAAAGTAAAAAAAAAAATCATAATAAGTAATTATAAAATTGTGTTCACTCTTGATATTTCATTTATTCGAGTAATTCGTAAAAAAAAAAAAATCTGACTATGTGACGCTATAAAAAAATGACTGTTCTTTTGTTAAAAATTTCAACTACTGTTAAATAGTAAAATATATTTTTTTTAATTCGCTAGTATTATTTGGACGATTATTATTTGCAGTTCAAATTCCGAGTGAAACTTACAAACATTATTGTCAAGGTATTGTTGTAATAGCTGAACTATAAATCGCACAATTTACTTAACTATTTATTTGTATGCGTTTTACTAGACACTTGACTATTATCTCTATCAAATGAAACCTAGGTTAAATATTTAATTTCTACGTAAATATTTAACCAAGAGCAATTTGTTTTGTTCAAAACGTAGTTGTTAAACTCACAATATCTTCCAAATTCTAAAAATTAACTCTACATTTCTCCGATTAAATTTTTTTTTTTTTATTATTATTTCAGACGGTTTTTATTGAGCTAACGGTATGACAATTAAATTCCTTAATTTGTTATTTAGTGAATAATTATAAAATATATGTAATAAAGGATCCATTTATTTATGCATAGTATGTCGTACAAACTCCATTATAAAACCTATTAAAAATGTATTAAAAATTCCTTTAGAAGTATAAAAAGTTGATGTAGTTTTTAAATATATTAAATGGTAAATGATTTTAAAATTTAAATAATTTAGGACTTTTATACTTTAATAACTCAAAAACATTATTATGTGTTTGGGTATTAAAGTTTTAAAAATAAAACTTAACGTATTAAATTGTTTATAATCTATAAAATAAATTATAGATTTTCAAAAAAAAAAAAAAAAATTACCAATATCAGTAATTTCGTAATTATTGAATTTATTCAATAATAATATAAAATCTATAAGAAATAATTTAACAGAGGTTTGTTTAAATTATATTTTAAACAAAAATTTAACTTTCTATATATTAAAAAGATTCTGCTATAATATTTTTACTTAATTATACCCGATATTTAAAGTATTTAAATTTCACTTTTAAAAGTGCCATATTATCAACTTTTAAATTGTTCATACAAAATCACATTTAATATCTTAAAGGGGGAAAAAAATTAAAGTAATTGAAAAATTTAAAACTTACATCGATGAGATGTTAAACAAATGTAAACGTTTATGCTATCATCATAAAGTAGATATAACCGATTTTAAATAATATATCGTGAAGAATAGGAAACATAAAATAAATTTGATATGGGCAATGCACGTGATACGATACAAAATGAATTTGATTTCTATATACACATAGTTGTTTACAATCTATAGCTATACAAATATATAGTTTTAATACTGTTTTAAAATAAAGCGCGTGCGAAAGATTAAAGACGGATACATTTGTTTGCATTATAACCGTTTTCGTTTTTTCGGGAGAAAAATTTGCAAGTTAATAATATACATGAAAAGGATTTATCAAGACTTGGAAATATTGTATACAATATTCTAGTATAAACGGGTTCGTCCCTTGAAGACAGCAATAATTCTCAGTGGTCATCTAATTAGGTATTTTTATTATAAAATTCTTATTTTACTTGAGATACTATATATTAAGGGGAAGCGGTTATTTGTTGTTAAACAATGTTAAAGTAAAATCATTTATCGCGGCTTGGGCATAAAGATCAACATCACTCTAGTGAAAATAAATTTTAAGGTCATCATATCGATGGCTGTATTATAGTTTATTCTAAATATTATTAATTACTTAATATTTTAACCGTCACTATTACAAGTTTTTAAAAATACAATTAGAACATTTTTTATTTAAAACGTCGTTCAATGTTTAAAAGATTCAAATGATTTGATATACTTTCAATTAAAACTCTCTTTCATATAGATTAACTAAATTAATTAAGTTTATTAGAGAACAATTATAATATATAAGTTGTAGTGTTTGTTATTTTTATACATGAATGGTCCACGTCGTCTATTGAACGTCCAACAGACAGTTATTATTTTAATATGACTACATGTTATATTAGAATCGCAAATATAATTGTTAGGTTATTCGTATAAATTATGTTCAACGTTATATTCATACACAATTTTCTTCACATAAAATCACATTCTCAGAACAAAACTGCTTAAAATATATTATACAGTTTAGGTAAAAATCAACATGTATTTTCTAATTAAATAATAAAAAGGGGCTTATACACTCATAATACAAATTAAAAACTTTAATACTTATACGGAAGTATTTTACATTGCGGAATAACCCAATATTATGAAACGTTCTCTAAAATCTCAAGAACTTGCGATGAATTACAACTTTTTAAGTAAAAGCAAGACTGCCTCACTTTTAACGTTTCGATAGCTTGTTTTTGTTAAGCTTATATACTATAATATTTTTAAAAATACTGAAATGTGATTGTATTGAATTTAATCTAAGTACATTTGCATGTCATATATCGAATTAAAGTAGTTTTGCATTTCATGCATCATGACGAATCTTATACATGTGATATCGCTACAATTCTAACTGTCGCTGTTTTGTACAACTAATGCAAACTAGATTTTATTTGAAATAGGAATTTCACAAATCGATTTTATATTTTGACTTTAGCAATTAATAAGATAAATTTAAAATATATGTGTGTAATGCTACCGTAAGATAAATATGGCATTGTATATATTTCTTCAATATTCAGTTAAAATTAAAAAATGACCGGTAAATATTTTTGGCACCCAAAATTATATTCAACGCATGGCGTTCTGATTATAAATCAGTATAATATCTTGAAACTAACTAACATTGGGTGGTTGCAATGTTGATGTTCTAGGCTTGCGAAATACCGTATACCCGATGGTATGTTCGACCGTGCATACAGTATTGTGATTATTTTTCCACAACTCCCCTTCCTCTCTCACTACCTGACAGGGTCGTGTTGCTGATCTTTGTGATTTAACCCCTAAGCATCTGTTTGCAGGCCGTGGACGCGGGCGATTCGATAGCGTTCGTCGACACGGACCAATGCCGCATGGAGAAGCTAGTGCTGAACTTCGCAGACATCGGCTGGGAGGACTGGGTGATCTACCCGAAGGGATTCGAGACCAACTACTGCGCGGGCGGCTGCCTGTTCCCGCTGGGCAAAGGGTCGCGGCCCACCAACCACGCGACCGTGCAGAGCCTGGCCAGGTCGTTCGGCCGGCTGTGGGACGTACCGGAACCGTCGTGCGTGCCTGACACGCTGGCCCCGCTCACCCTGCTCTACATGGACCGGTCCAACCACGTGCTGCTCAAGAGCTACCCCGACATGAGGGTGGTCACCTGTTCGTGCAAGTAAACACACGCAACGGACAACACCGTGTAACAAGCACTGTATGCCTGAGGCGGCAATACCACTGCATTGGTTCTCTCAGAAATCGATACGGCTCGGGCGTCCGAAAATTCCGTGTACATATAAATGTATATATAAATTTTATTAAGTTTTAAGTTAGAAACCCATGAGCGAATCGAAACCGAACACATCTCCGGTTATATAGAAGTTGGCCACCGTCGATACGTACCCTTACCGTCGTAATCACGATATTGTGACTGTGTCTTGTGCCAAAATATGTTCATAATAAAACGACTGAATAACCGACAACGTACATAATATTATTTCGATGCACACCGCCATTTTTCGCTAGGTAAATTTTTATTTTTTTTATTTTATAAATTCTTATGACTTTTTACACCGTCCCGATGTCTAATCGATACTCTATGCCAACGTTACGTTAAGTAATACCGTAAACGTACCGGTAAAAACTGTCGCTTCACCAAACATTACCCGAATCGCTCGTTGGCCACCGGTACCGTCGAAGACGGTCATCTTGTACAGTTTCTCACATAAATCTGTGTTCGAGAATGACGATAAACGGAAACGAGGATTTCGTCTGCGTCATCGCAACACACGGTATTATAAGATATTCGGTGGACACGGCTATAGTTTTACTATCCTCGTACGTGTACGCAGTTGGTACCGACTTCGGTAGTGCTTCAGCGTCGCTCCGACTGTGAATATAAATTATTGTTGTCTCGTCATCGCATGTAGTGAACCGTACGCGATTTGTATGTCAAGTACGTACGCGTATTGTTTTTGCATCGCGAAATGTGCGCAGAAGGACGATAACGGCGTGTGAAAAATAAAATCGTAGTTAGTTATGTGTTCGAATACGCGTAAGTGTTTGTAAATTGTAATTTTTTTTTTTTTTGTATTATACCTCGTATTCTATGTGGATACGAAAGATAATGTGAAATCGATGATAAGATATCGGACGATGTGTCTAAAGAATACGTTCTTCGTTGTTTTTCAAAACTATTTATTAGACTTCAAAGTGTAATAATATTGTATTGTATTCAAATACGAGTCGGTTGCGCACATTTGCTGGAAATATTCATATATTATATACGTTATTGTCCGATAGTAAAATATTATATTATACTACGTTACATTATTGCCGATAGTTTAAATGGTTGTACTATATTATTCTTATATGCCCTGTTTTCCTTTAGTTTACATTATTTGCTTATTAGTCCATTTTCAGGTTGAACGCTTACGAATCATTTCGTAGGCCCATCAAATTATTCTAAGTAAACAGCGATTCGATGGTTTTTAATTTAAATATCAGTTTTGAAAACGAACTCGCTTGGATGAACGATACGAACGAGATTCCGATGTGAATCAATAATTCAATCACGTGTACGTCAACCGCGTTTGCGTACAATAACGGTTATGAAATACGCGTTCGCGCAACGCGAACATTTAATACCTACTCAATTTGTTGATCTCAACATCCCGGGAAGTTCGATAACCATTCGAACTTTTGTACTTATCTCACCTACGATATTCGACCGTGCGCTTAGAAATTCGCAAATACTGAAACGATGTGCAGGTGTACCGTTACCGGTGCACTTTTCCCTTGAACGTTTCCGAACGTTACGTCGTAACGAATAACAGAGATGACGCGCCAAGACGGTGCAATTAGCATACGGTAAAAGGAACTTTCCGTTTGAAAACGTACACGCGTATCCATGACGTTCGCACACGATTCGGGGGGAGAGATGGAGCGTGTGCTTGTGCGAAAGGGAAAGAGAAAGAAAGAGAGAGAGAGAGAGAAAGAGAGAGAGAGAGAGAGAGAGAGAAAGAGAGTGGTTGGGTGAGCCATGTGACAGTGGCAGAGGTTTAGTAGTGGGATATAACTAGTAATATGGAGGTAGGCGCAATGTGTATTATATTATTATTATTATTATTATTATACGTTCGGTGTTACGTATTAAGAGGATCGGATGGACTGTCTCTCGCGTGAAACAGATCGGCCTCAGTCGTGTTTTAGTGACCGGTACATTTCGATTGCGAGCGCTTCCATAACCGTATCCATAAGCGTATAAAAACTTCGAAATTCAAAATCCATAGTTGTCTGCGTGCGTGTACGGTGTGCTATACCCGCGAGGTTTACCGCTATGACGAGGGCTCCGAGTGCGTTAAACATGGTAAGTAAAAGCACATAATAATATTATGATGTTTTGGTACGATTTCGTTTTTTTTTCTCTAAAAATTTTTCACTAATATTTTTATCGGTCGAGTCGAGATTTCGATCGCATGTGCTGTCCAGGCACGCAGACCGTCCACTCGTAAACAATAATCAACGTTATAACAGGCATCGTTTGTAAAATCGACATTTTAATAAATGATAAACTGCTGCATGGCTCGTAGGTATTGCAGAGAGTAGAAACCAAGCCGTTGTTGCTGGATATTGTGGCCCATTAAATTTCTACATCCCATTCGTGATTGAAGGTTTTCCGTACGGTTTTATACATGTTTTTTTTCATTTATTATTGTGCAGTCATAACGCGTTATCTTACAATCGAGGATTTGAGGTACATTAATTATTTATTATTATAAATTATTTATTTATTATGGGAATTATTCGATTATTCAAATTCAAATAGATCCAGCGTAAATAATTCGAATACTTGAATATTCGACCATTCGAATATCAGTATTCGATTTTTCAATACAATACATAACGAAAATTATTCGTTTTAGTTTTCACGCAACACAAAACGTTTAATAATATTAGGTATTGTAGCATCGAATACTGATATTCGAATGTTCGAATATTCAAATATTCTTATATTCGAATTATTAACGGCGAACTTATTCGAAGTTGAATATTTAGATATTCGAATAATTCAATTATTCGAATATACATTACATCTCTTTCTTGCTATGGTTAAGTTCCCGCATACGTGGTTGACTAATAAAAATAAAATAAACGGTTCGAACCGCACTAAGAAATATCGCAAGGGATTTATCGATGGCCGACACGTGTTAAGACTATACTCGCAACAAATGTTTTAATAATAATAATAATAATTAACTCGATAGGATTTAAGTAGTTTACCATACGAGATTAAAGTGTTTTATTACAGGGTTTTTTTCCCCGTTCAATTGACTCAAAACATATTTATCTACCAAAAAAAATGAACATCAAAATATATAAAATGCATATGCTATATGGTAGTTAAGAAATATATTTCCTATGATATCGCAATTGATAGCTTTTAAAATTGTAGTCATGCATTACGTTAAAACAGTATAGATATGTAATTGGTTTTAACAATTAATTCAATGAATCTAAATCAAATTTGGTTTGCTTATACCCCACTGTGCGTAAACAGATAGATGTTGAAGGCGTGTAATATTTAAATATTGATTTATCGACGAAAAAATTCAACAAGAAAACAGATTTTTTTCTCAAGATATTGTTCATTAAATATAATGATCTAAACACGTATTAAATCTACATTTCGTGGTCAATAGATATTGTTTTGTTAAAACGTATAGTTAATTGTTTTATAAAAGAAAAAAAAAATTAATTTATGCGCCCGTTAGATTTGCCTAGACCTAATTATTTTACGAGTCGAATACATATGTGACATCAAGGTTAAAACATTAAACGTATCGTTTTAATGACGTTTCAAATAAATACAAGCGAGCACAGACGTTCGAAATTATGAACCTCTCGTCACTCTGCACGTAATGTCATTTCGAAACGAAAAGAGTATAATAAATGTTTCCCCGGGGATGAGACGAAGGAAAGGCAGAGGACTCGGCTACGGCATTTATGAAATTGGGCGGCCGACTTTTGTAATTTAAACTCCGAGTTCTCGGTCGTATGAGATTTACGTAAGATATAGTTTGGTTTCTGTTTAACGCGTAAACGTTGAATTTTCAGACCGCTTTCATCTGTTAAAATGCATATAATTATCACGACTTGAAATGGTGAAGGTTATAAAATTAGATTTGGATACTTACATGCTGCATACATTAATTTCGCTATCGGTGATCAGATTCGATCAAAATAATATTTATCTAAACATAGGTTAACGGGTTGTGTAGGTATACGAATGGAAAATCGATGACTTTTACCCGTGAAGTGCTAATTTATTTGTTACGTTTTCAAAATTACGAAAACGATATGTTTATAATGATACAGAATACTTGTATAATTACAAACAAATCGATCTGGATTTGTATTCAATTATCATAGCGCCTAATCCGCAAAAGTTATAATATGTATTATGTAATTATACATTTCGCAATTTCTAAATAACATTCATCGGTAGGCAGGATAATTTCGTAGATTTAAATGCAAGCTAAGTGCGTTTTAAACGCCGTTGCAGGACTATCTATTTAACATGATACGCATTTTCAAAACGATAACATATAACTATAAATGCTGTTGTACTTTTCGATAAAAAATATACGACACGGTAGGTAGGTTTTAGTGAAATCGAAATGTTTAACGAACAAGCTATAATATCGTTATAACACGTTTGTCGTGAATATATATATATATACTTGTTTATAAATGATTAATTAAAAATCATACATCCAATCGATAACCTTACACATGACAGTAGTGCGCTGTAAAATGTTTATCAACACAATGGTACTTAAGTGTATGTAATATGTTAATGGTATAATTTCGAAACTGTCTGAACTGCAACCGTTGATGCGGCTTTCGCGCGTGAATACTCGTAGTTACTATAGTATGGACGTAGGTACGTATTCATATTGAGTCCGCGTGATCCAAACCCCTTTTCTCTTGGATGACAATTAAATAATAAAATGCTTTTTTTATCTGAAGTAGTTTTATACCTTATACGGTAGAAAATGTTCAAATTTTGGGTGGAAAGAATTACACGTTTTTGGACCATTCTTACGAGTGGTCGTTTGCGGAGTTTACGCGCTCGGTAAAACGTGTCATACGAATGCAGTCGACTAAGATATAACACGTTTATGTTGGTGTCGATATCGTGTCCAACTTTCAAATTGCGTGTGAAAAAAATAAATAAATAAACAATAAAACCGCATATCATCAATACCGTGGTTGTAAAGCAAAATTAATCGTTCGGACGTCATTCAGACCACGGCGATTGCGTTGTACGCGGTCATCGCGTTAACGTGAGTAATAATTTGTCAAACGATCCGACGGTCGAGCACCGAAATTACCAAAAATACACGTCATAATGTATTAATGAAATCATACAAGGATACGGTTAAAAAAGAACGAAAAAAAAACAATACGATTCGCGATTACTTAACAACTTTCTCCGCATTCCTTCGCGCATATCGGACCGCAGTTATTATAATTGCAATATTTTATCATAACCGTCGTCGTCATCATCGTTATGATTTTGTTACATCACACACACGCACAATGCGGCCGCGAACACGTCCGGTAGAACGACGTTCATTTTATACTATCACGGTTGACAAGTCTCGTTTTGTATACATATACTTAAACACGCACCGGGTACTTACAGGTAATGAATGTTAAAACAGAAACTGAGCTCCCGGATCAGCTATCGTCATTAAACGAGATCAGTTTTCCTCGTGATAACAATGTTGTTTCGAACGCACCGCAATGATGATCAGAGCCGTTCGCTGACTATTATAAAACACCGACGACTATAGTAGATCAAACCAATGGAGTAGATAAGGGGTGGGTTTTTGGAGTCCAAACCTCCCATATCCAAAATCTCGTCTAGTAAATAAATAGTTAATAATAAAAATATTTATTATCTTAATATATCAACCCCCATAGATAATCTTTATCTATGCCTTTGTACCGAACTATAAATTTGCTATACGTAACAAAGAATTTAAAATCGTACTGCGTGTTTTTAGATGTCATTAAAGTTTTAGTTTTTTATTTGTTGCTTTGTTGCAGTATACCTTCAATTTGTTTCGTTTGTTGTGTTTTTTTTTTTTTCATAAATCTTGTAACTAGAAAAGCAAAAATCTTCACATGTTCGTTTTATCTTTCTATAAAAATTTGTAACAATTATAAAAAACATTTTTTTTTTCGATTTTTCGTGTTTCCGAGGACGTAACTGTAGCGCTTACATTAAGTTTATTCCTGATCATAAAATAGCACACATTTCAGTGGCTTTCAGCACCATAAAATCTGAGCCCTAAAAATCATAATACCGCCGAATGCCGCCGTAATACGCTGTATCCGCGACACATTTCTAATGTGTTGGTATTTCCTTTTTTTTTCACGTTCGTTCACCTCAAGGACGCCGGGTCAGCTATATCAGGAACATGACAAATAATTATCGTCGTGTTACGTAAGAAGCGATCGGTTTTCTTACGTTTCACATTTTAAATGTTTTCTTATTAATATTATTATTACTGTTGTCAACGGATTTTGGAAACGAACGTCGTCACATCGAGTTCGTCGAAATTCTGCGATAGCGATCAACTCGTACGACACATGGCTCATTATTATCACGCCGGTCTACGGATAAAAAATGATAGTGTCCGGTGCACTTCGGGGACGGGTTGTATAAATGTAAATTAAACGGGTGTTCCCCTCCTCGTCTGAGTCAAATCGTTTCAGTACGGCTCTGTTGAAAAGTGCATAACACGATGTCGATGCACCGCGCTTTCACCGCCGCGTACCTTGAGTATGTATTCTTTTCTTCTTCTCGTATCATACGCATTAAATGTGCGCACACCGTTATGACGTGACCGTATTACAGTTTTTTACATGTTCCTCCGGACCGGACGACAGCGTTTAATCATTGTTTAGGATAATGAATTTTTTTTTTTTCTACACGTCGTATAATAACGGTATAATAATGTACGATATTGTTGCGCGTGTACAGAACAACAAAAATGTGGACGTGCGATACAGCGATCGATGATAATTACTTGTGTTTTGGGTTTTGGAAAACGTCATGTGCGCTGAACATTCTCAACTAACTCAGCCATCCTTGGGAATTGAATAATAACGGTTGTAACAGTAAATACGAGTGGTAATAATAATAGTGATAACGACATTGCCCGCGCCGCGGTACTTTCACTCATTTCACTTTCTAACCGGTGGACGTTTTTGCTTTTGAACGCTGTGCACGCGATGCCTCGGTATTGGTTCGCTGCAACCGTCAATGGCTTTCTTTGTTTACAAACAACGGTT